CCCCGGCCCCTCGCCGCGGCTCTCCCATCTCCTCCTTTGGGATGCTGCTCCCGGCAAGGGCTGGCCCCGCTGAGCAGCTCTGAGTCAGCCGGGGCCCTGCTCAGACGCGTTTGCCTCTCTGGGGAGGCAGCAGCACCTGCCCGAGCGCTGCTGCAGCGCGGGCGCTTCCTGGCGCTGCAGGAAAGCGCAGTGTTTGTTGGCAGAGCTGCCCTCCTGCCCGCACAGCCCGTGGCGTCGAGCTCTGCACGCCTGGCATGACGCGTCCATGTGGAGCGCAGGCCAGCTCCGCTCTGTGATTCCCCCCGCGCTCGGCAGATGGTGCCACGGTCCCTGCAAAGACCCCTGTCCCCTGCGGCGCAGCGCGCATCCCGGGCGCCCGTGGCTTGCTGGGGACACGGAGCTCGCGCGGGGGCAGCCGTGCCCAGCACCCGGCGCTCAGCTGCTGCGCGCGGAGCGTTGGGATGTGCTAGGAAAACACCAGTGCGCGGGCTGTGCCAGCAACAGAGATGAGTGGGTGGCTCTGCTGTTTATAAATAGGCTTAATAGAGATGGGAGCCTGCTTTCCGCGTGTAGCATCCTTTGCCAGGCCAGCTGTGATGCAAAACTGTGCAACGTGGCCCGTTGGGGTCAGCGCAAGCTGGATGCCTTAGTTAGTAGTTGTGCCGGGGCAGCACTGCCTGCTGGGCTGAGCGCGGCAGCGGGCACGAGCTGCGTCCCGAGGTGATGCTGGGCCGCGTTGGCGGGGAGCAGCCCCGAGGAGCAGCACGGTGGGCACGGAGGAGCCTGGCGAGGCTCTGAGGGCAGCGGGGCCCGCGCTCGCAGCGCGGCTGTGAGCCCGCCGGGAGCTGCCCGCGCCGCTCGGCCAGCTTGTCCACGGTGCTTGTCCTTGGTCACGCAGGCATCCGCGTGCTGGACGGGCCCCTCACCGACAGCATGGAGGCCATCGCCTTCAACAAGCACTATCAGATCAACGACATCTACAGCTGCAGGTGAGGCGCGGGCGGGCCCTGCGTGCTGCACGTGTCCCAAGTTGTGCTTCCCGGTCCCAATGGCCGGGAGCACTTGTGGGCAGCAGGGCTGCGGGCTCCCTGGCACAGCGCAGCTCTCCTGTCCCCCGCGGCTGCAAAGCCAGCCCTGTGCGTGGCTGCAGCACTGCGGGAGATGCCCTGGGCTGAAGGGACACGGGGCAGGGAGCCCTGGCTGAGTGCTGGCACGGGGCCGCAATGTGGGGGAAGGTGGAAGCGAGCAAAAGTCGAACGTTTCCTCCCTGGAATCCGACCCCAGGGGCGCAGTGCGAACAGAGGGCTGCCCGGCACACGGGCAGCACAGCGCCGCGGTCTGTCCCGGTGGAGCTCGCGCCTGCCCGGGCGCAAGCTGCGGCGGGAGGCCCCGGCACCTGCGCCCCTCGCCCCTTTGCTCCTCGCTGTCTCTCTTTGCAGCTGGGGTCCAGACGACGACGGGAAAACTGTGGATGGCCCCCATCAACTGGGAAAGGTACCAAACGCTTCCAGCAGCCGGCTCGGGCCCTGGCCGTCCGTCCCCGTCGCGGGCCTGCGCGGGCTGGTGCTGTGCTGCAGCGCGCGGTTCTTTGCATCCAGCGCTGCCAGCGGAGGTGCTGCATGCGGTGTGTGCCGGGGAGAGGTGACGTTGCTGCAGGACGCAGTGCTCTGGCAGAGTTAGATGAGCTCTGCAAGGACGGGTTGTGATCTTGCCAGGAAAATGCCACAGTTTTCAGAACTCGTGGGATTATTCTGACACCTTTCGCAACTGAAGGGACACTCTTTGCTCGGGAGAACAAACGTTGCAAAGGGGAGGTTCACAGGGCAGGGGACCTATCTTCAAATGCGAGGAGCGAGGCAGGCCTTGGGCATTTGCATCGAGGAAGGCTGTGGTGTGGGGAGCAGCTGGACTGCTGTGCCCCAGTCCCGTGCATGCAGGGACTGGGAGACTGCAGGGCCTGCGGTAACGTCAGGAGCAGGCCCTGTTTGCACCGCGGAAACGCGGAGCGTGCCGCTGCGCGTGACCGTTCCCTTTCCTTAGGAGCCCTGACCCGGCCCTTGCTCGGGGACGCGAATCGCCCTGATTTCCCTTTCGCCGTGTGTTTGCAGCCGCAGGATGGCAGCGGCTGTG